CCAAGACAGGAGAGGTCTCTCGGATCATAGTCAAGTAAGTACAATATTTCATTTCCTAATATTCACCTTTCCACAAAGTGAAGAAAATCCATAATTTCCGGTGCGCTGATTGGTTGTATGTAAATGAGTCAAATCTATGACATCAATGATGGAAAGTTTAGAATAATTAGTACAGCCAGCATAGGAATTTTTTGAATTGACTGCAATAAAAAGGATTCTATTTGCCCAACGCACTAATTATTTTTAATCAAATATGAAATATAGACGGGGCACTTTCATTCCGAATCTTATGTAATTTAATTTAATCATTTTTTGACAGAACTATTGTTTATTAAGACTTCTCAGATCAGCCTCACATACCCTGGCTCAAATGTCTCGTGCGATTGTAAACAACAAATGTAAATTGTGAAGTTACAAACAACTCGGTTAAATTATCCTGTTAAATGGTTATTATGTCGTAGTAAGAAGTTCCATCAGAAATTCACCATGAGTGACATTGGCGCAAAGCGTTACCTTTTGGTATTTATTCGCCATTAGCGATGTCAATAATGATCAGCAATGTCAACATGTCATCAATAAACATTATATGATCATGCGGTACTAACTCTCCGGGGCGTATCGAAACCAAACGCCCCGCAAAACCGTTAATTTGAATTTCAAATCTACCCTGTCTTTGGAAAATCGATGATTGTGAGTCTCACACTTTACCGTTTTTCTTCAAACTTGTTCCATTAAAACCTTGACAGAAATACCTTTCAGTCGAGACATTGCCTTTGTTAACAAAGTCCCTCGTTTTAGCGGCGTTTTGGTCCCCAGATGTGAGAAGATGCAAATCTTCAGAGATTTCAACCAAAAGCCTCGATATATCGCCAGTTCTTTTATTATTCTCACCTATATTTTGCACAAGGACTCCCATTACAACCCCCCATCGCTGCACCAACATATTTATTACATTAAACGCAGTAATTTAAAAAAGTCCTACGCAACTGTTCGAAATTGACCAAAACGCCCCGTTGTCTTCCAAAACAGAGTCTTTGACTACAAACGTGTATAGATACGGTGTACAGATCCAATGGGGCGTTTTGGAAGAGAACGGGGCGTTTTGATCAATTTCCAACAGATGCGTAGGACTTTTGAAAATTGGTGCGTTTAATATTATAAATATGTTGATGCAGAGATGGAGGATTGTAATGGGAGTCCTTGTGCAAAATATAGGGGAGAATAATTAAAGAACTGGCGATATATCGAGGCTTTTGGTTGAAATCTCTGAAGAATTTTGCATCTTCTTACATCTGGGGACCAAAACACCGCTAAAACGAGTGTCTCTGTACACAAAAGCAATGTCTCGACTGAAAGATACTTCTGTGAAGGTTTTAATGGAACAAGTTTGAATAAAAACGGTGTAGTGTGAGACTCACACCACGATTGAACAATGTGAACCAGATGACCAAGATTGGTATGGGATAAACATATTATCCTATAGTCGGGCAGATATATTATATATATAGAGATTATCCTATATGAGGTTCAGGATATTGGGATTATCCCGAGGCCAATATAATATATTTGCCCGAGGGCCGCAGGTCCCGAGGGAAAATATATTATATTGGCCAAGGGATAATCCCAATATCCTGAACCGACTATAGGATAATATGTTTATCCCATACCAATCTTGGTCATCTGGTTAACATTGTTCAATTGTGGAAATATTTTAGAATATTCATGTCCAGTTTTGTTTTCTTGGCCGTGGGCGGGTTTTCCTGTTCCCTCAAATATTCCCACATTTATTTTTGATTGATTAAGTGGATGCTCCTTCCCTTTTTTAAACCATCAAACAGATCCCAATTGTCTGTGTTTTCTCCATTGTCGTGTACAGTCATTACGCGAACGTTACAAATTATGAACAATATGCGAGCGGCGATTATGACGTAGCGGGCAGATATACTATATCTGCCCGCTCGGAGCGGGACGTATAGCTATATCTGCCCACTGATGAAAATATAAGTTTTTACAAACCGGCTTTATGTACCTGAAACACGTCCAAGTATGGGATAAATATATATATATATCCTGAACCTCATATAGGATAATCTTTATTTATGTCACGCTCCTCCAAGATACCAATTCTATATCCCAATGTTTTCAAGTATAAAATTGAATTATGGAAGTTGTGAAGTCAATGATTTAATGAATAAGAGCAAATGTTTTTAATTTAAACAGGTCATTCATCAAATGACACTGAACACTCATTCTACAAAAAGCGTGACAAAAGTCTGTCAAAAAAAATTCGAAATAAAACTCTAAAACCGAACTAATTTCAGTGCTTACGTTAAAGTTTGTAGTTGACTTGTTATTCTGGCAAAGTTTGGGCAGCCTCGCTTTCGAAATGCGGAAGTTGTAATTGGCAGAAATATACAAACGTCAGGTCAAAATTTTCACTTTCGCCAATTTACGAGTCATCGTCTTGTTAGGTATACAGCATTAATGTGTATTGATATAGTCAACAATTGTATTGGAAGAGGAAAATAAATGTTTGTTGCATGTATTGTTCAAAGAGTATCAAAAATTACATCGATTCTTAATTTTTCAACAAGATGTACGTTAACTGACCCAGGGTCTACACCCCAATAAAGCATTAAGTACGATGTATTGTTTATTATAAAACTGATGCCATGCATCATTCTCGTCATTCATGTAGATAAATTAGGAACTTCAAACTATGCATAATTACGCTACAAATTATGGCTATCGAGTATTGACTGCCCTTTTTGCTACATCTCTTAAGATAATGTCCTGTAGATTGCCATATTTTGTCCCGTATATTGTATTATGTATAAAATGAATAAGACTTGATTATGGAATCAACATAAATGTACTTTATCTTCAGATGACACAAGCAAAGCTTTGAATGTTATTTCTCTTAATTAAACTCCCACAGCAGTTCAGGAAAGACTGAATTACAACAAAAGTCTCGTAAATTGCATACTCAGTCGTGATGCTGGTAGCAACTGTCCAGAAGACAAACATGTATGTAACAATTTCAACCACAACATTATTTGTTGTGCAATTATGTAAATACCATAGAAATAAATGTGAGCCATAAACGTCATGCATTGTTCTGTCCTTTTACTGTTCACAGTGCAAATGACTCGTAAATTAGGCACTTATGCTAGAGTCTTAATTACACAATAACAAGTTCTGTATGCAACAATATTGTATGTACAAATTATCGTATATGCGCATGTCAAAGAAATTAAGTCAGACCACCATAGTGTATCTCTGAATTAATGTGCTTCCAAGCTTTAATCTGAGTTTGAGAAACTTTAAATTTGATATCTTCTCCTGCCAATTGCACTGTTGATTGGGGAGGAAACCGTTAGGTGTGAAACATTCTTCACACACACATGTAGTATCTCTGGTATGGAGAGATACGCCATCACCAGACTTCGAAGTGCAAACCCCGTGGAGTTGCATGGTACCATTGATGGGTTTTGAATTTTTATATTCAACAAGCTGGGACACACTTATCTCATACTCATCTTTGGTGACAAAAATATAGTTAATATTCTGGGATTCTTGAAGAGCCCAGCACAGGAATTCATTAGCATCTTGTATTGAAAACCCACGTTTAACAGCGTTATCCGCATCTCGTTTAGCAACCCCGCCAATCCCATCACATGGTCCTTTGCCATGGCCTGCCTCGAAGTATTGCCAAGATGCCGAACATCCAAATCGTATTTCATGATGCATCACAATATAAAAAATTGTTTTGTTTCGATATTGGCTACTTGGGGAATCTGTGAAATAATGTACCCTCTGTACATCTGATACCTTTTCTTTGACAATAGGTATTAATTTTTCAATGATAGAATTGACCATTGTGGCATTGTGACTAAGAACATCACTTAAAAACACGTAGTTCAAGTGGAAAAGTTCTCCACCATCTTCCACCTTGTAGTATACAACACACGGGTGTAGAGTAACCATCGTTTGGTTCCAATAACCACTTTGGACCTCTTCTTGAACTTGACATGTATAGTTTTCCGCAAAATCCATTTGAATAATTACATCGCGACTTGACATGTTTAGTTTCATCTGCTTGATAGCATAGTATTGCTTTTTTATTTTATCCACATGTTCCACAAAAGCATTATACTCATTCAACATTATATCACTAAATTTTGCTCTTTCTACTTTTGTAGAGATAATTTTGCATTTCAATTTATCATCTACTTTAACCCTTTTCCATTCTTGGAATGTAACGGTTTCTTCAGCTATATTTGAAAGTGAAGTGGCTAACTGGTCTGAAGAAACATCCCTAACAAATACATCTGGATTGATGCAGGTAAAGAGATTTAATTTCTTAAGACACTGTAGTTTAAGAGTAAAATTCTGATGCTTCTGACACAGACAAGTTGATCTTGATGAAAAATTGACAAGAGTGATGAAGGAGGGACGCAGCCTGCAGAATAGAGCCCTGGATATTCTGTGCCTTGGTAACTCACTCAGGTACTTGAGATGGAGGTTGTGTAAGTAATCATTTAATACCCTCTTCTGACGAACCTGAAACATTGCATTACATCATTAAAATAACTTAACACAAAAAGTTAATAATTTGCAAATTTTCGATTTACTAGTATTTCATATATCTTTTTCAAACAACTAGAAAATTTTCAAATTATTAACTTTGTGCTTAATACAAATAAACAAATACTAGGACTTAACGTTAAATGAAAACAATCACACATTGTTGATAACTGGATAAAGCGTTTCTTATGAATTTAAATGGTTTACTCGCATATTAAATGTTGCAATATGAGCTTAAGAACCTATCACCCCTATATAGCATAATGGACCAGTCTATGTAAAATATATCTATGTAGTTTTGAATCTGATACTTAAATATAGTGTTAAATGTCAACAACAGAATGTATTTACTAGTAGAATACTATGAGAAAATGAATACCGTTCCATCCTTGGATTTGGAGAAGTCTTGTTTTCCTGGCATCATTCTGGAGTTATCGTCTCTTTCAAAAAATTCAATCACATCACTTCTTATCTCATCATACTTTTTCTGATTGCCAATCTTTCTTGCCTTTTTCTCTCTCAATTTTCGCCATGTATACCCAGAGTTCCTAAGCTGATTTGCCAACTTGTATTTTTTCAGGATCCTTCCAGAAATAGGTTTTTTTTGGTTTGATTGTTTAAGCTCATCACTGACGCACTCTGAGAAAATAAGTTTTTTTCTAATTGTTCTAGGCACTTTGCTTGGTGAAAATCCAGATTTTTTGAGAAGTTTATCTGTTTTGCTTCTTGGGGTATTAGCGGGTTTTAAGTCATTTACTTTTTTTCTTAACCTAGAAATAATTTTTCTATTCTTTGCTGATGTCTTCTGAAGGCGTTTAATTTTTCCGTGAGCCCTAGATAGTGCACGATTGACCCTTTTCCTGCCACTACTCTTTCTTGATTTATCTATACTGTCCATCAATGATGGCAACTGTAAATAACCAGTTGTTGAAGTAACTTCATTCTCGCTACTTGAAGAAGGCTGTGGAGTAGAGCTGTCATTCGGTTTTTGACGTTTGTTTCTAAAGTTTTGCCAATTGTTCCTGTTTATAGCTTGTTTTCTTTTTCTATCTTTTGCTGGTAGTAGTTCTAGGGGTATATAATACTTTTTAACACGTTCGCGTTCTTTCTTTAGCCAGTCCTCTCCCATTTCTTGTTTCTTTCTCTCCCTATATTCTTTCATCCTCTGTGCTTTACTCTTTGCCATTGTTGCTGCAAATAGTTACTAGTTATAGTATTCAGACTGAATTAAGTTACTTAGTAATGCATGGGAAATGTGTCATATACAAATGGAAGCAATGCTTCATAATTTGAGTGTTATTAATGGGTTCAAAGTAAGGTACAACAATTACAATTTACAAGGCCAATTTACGGGACTCATTTTGTGTACCGTACTGTGATATTGTGATGAATATGTTGGTATCATTTTTGGAGGAAATAATAAATTTAGATATTATATAAAGCTGAATTCGCAAAATCATTTCGATTATATCAAGTTTGATCCGTATATCCAATCAACTTTAGATAGGTGTAATTACACAATATACGGGACATGACACAATATACGGGACATCATCAATTCATGATGTTGGAACATACGTGTGCATATCAAAGCAATAATTTTTCACGTTTTTCAGTCATATATTCTTTGTTCATGCTATAAGAAGTGTAAACGTATCATAAGCTATCTTTATTTGAAGAGAAGAGCGACGCTTCACTGGTAAGGGGTGATAAATTACACAATATTAGTCACAAAACAAAATGCCTACCTTTCTCTTTCACTTTTCTTTCACTGTCGTAAAGTAGGATGTCGTACCCTATTATTCAATGCTGATTTATCATTAATTTTCGTATCTAATTTTAGGGGTTGTCCCGTAAATTGTGGCTCGTAAATTGTGCAATGCCGTCTTTTGGACCATGTGCCAATAAGGAAATGGACTGAGGTGCAATGTTTGTACATACGATTGAGTATTTAGTCGCCTATCCTTTTGCTAGATACATTGATATGTGTATGTGTCTGTATATTGTCAGAATTGGGTGCTCGTAAATTGGCAAGTAAAATTTAACGTTTTTGTTTTTGTTATTCCTTATCATGCTGTTGACTCTTGGTTGAATTATATATTAAAATCACGATTCATAAATATTAACCTCTCGGGTATGAATCATTTTGCGTGTTAAAACAGGACATAGGGGTCAGTTATCGTGTCAGTATTGTACCATATCATAGTCTGACTCGTAGATTGCCGGAAATGAGTGACTTTATTCAAAATCCCCAAAACATCAGAAAATAAACAAAACTGATGGACAATAAGCAGTAAAGTAAAGCAGAAGACCCCCTTACTACTGTGGATGTGATACATTGGGTGGATCCTATCGCATAATACCATAATGGAAGAATGAATTAAGAAATTCAATTTTGTGACACCTTGTTTTCAAGACCCCTATCGTAATTTCCGGCGTGAGACAACAATAATAAACACAACACAGGTGAAACAATCGTATTTTTTTATTTCTAATATGGTAAAGAACATAAAACACATGATATAACAGGTATGGAATCTGTTTATTATGATATATATACAAGATAATGTGTGTGACAGCAAAAATCACGCTTTTTGTAGAATGAGTGTGAAGATTAACTTAAAATAGATTGTCTATCTATATATTTTTATACATGGGAGACATGTTATAATGTTGGTGAAGTAATGATTATGATAATTTCACCTGTTCACATCCAGTTCCTATCATGATTGAAAACTGACCGGGAGTAGTTCTCTTCAAATTATTTACTCATTAATTATGAACAGAAATTTAATATTAAATCGCTTAGAAGGCGTAAATAAATGTCAATTTGACGTTCAATAAAAATCCGTCAATAATTTACTGATTACTTGCACATTTGGAGCAGTAAAACTTAAAACTTACAGCAATCAACCGAGGATTTACATGTAAACTCAATTGCATTTGTTTTTCGCGGGAAAAAGTTTCTCTCATTGACGTCACAGATTTTTAAGCAGCTCATTATAATATTCACGAGCTGACTTTGTGGAAAGGTGAATACAGCTTTCAGATTTACCTTTAGCCTAGAGTTTAGAAGCCCACTAGAATCTGAACCACAAACAGTAATCCCTTTTCCTTTGGTAAAATTTCTATTTCCACCATTTTTATTTGCCATCTATTGGGTAAATTACTCCACCATTTCTGTTGGCCACCTATTGAGAAAACTTAATACTATTAGAAAACTCTGATGTAACTGCTATAATTTCAAGTCTAGTATTTTGGACATATTCATATTGTACTGAAGTTAAAACACATTTCAAATCAGCATGCATTAGTGTTTATAAAATTGAATCGTACTTTATTCATTTTATGGTCACCTATTTAGGACAACATGTTTATATTCCATTTATGCTCATCCATTAAGGATGACGTGTACATATTTCACTTTTGATCATCCATTAAGGATGTGTATATATTTCACTTATGTTCATCAATTAGGGAGGACATGTATGAATTTTACTTAGTCCATTAAGGATGACAAATACTTAGTTCACGTACATGCTCATCCATTAGGGATGACAAATACTTAGTCCAGTTATGCTCATCCATAAAGGATGACAAATACTTAGTCCATTTATGCTCATTCATAAAGGGTTACAAATACTAAGTCCATTTATGCTCATCCATAAAGGATGACAAATACTTAGTCCATATTTATGCTCATCCATAAAGGATGACAAATACTTAGTCCATATTTATGCTCATCCATATAAAGGATGACAAATACTGAGTCCATTAATGCTTATCTATAAAGGATGACAAATACTTCGTCCATTTATGCACATCCATTTGGGATGATAAATACTTAGCCCATTTATGCTCATCCATAAAGGATGACAAATACTTAGTCGATTTATGTTCATCCATAAAGGGTGACAAATACTTAGTCCATTTATGTTCATCCATAAAGGATGACAAATACGTAGTCCATTAATGCTCATCCATAAAGGGTGACAAATACTTAGTCCATTTATGCTCATCCATAAAGGGTGACAAATACTTAGTCCATTTATGCTCATCCATAAAGGATGACAAATACTTAGTCCATTTATGCTCATCCATAAAGGATGACAAATACTTAGTCCATTTATGTTCATCCATCAAGGATGACAAATACGTAGTCCATTAATGCTCATCCATAAAGGGTGACAAATACTTAGTCCATTTCTGCTCATCCATAAAGGATGACAAATACTTAGTCCATTTATGTTCATTCATAAAGGATGACAAATACTTAGTCCATTTATGTTCATCTATCAAGGATGACAAATACTTAGTCCATTTATGCTCATCCATAAAGGATGACAAATACTTAGTCCATATTTATGCTCATCCATAAAGGATGACAAATACTTAGTCCATTAATGCTCATCCATAAAAGATGACAAATACTTAGTCCATTTATGCACATCCATTAGGAATGATAAATACTTAGACCATTTATGCTCATCCATAAAGGGTGACAAATACTTAGTCCATTTATGCTCATCCATAAAGGATGACAAATACTTAGTCCATTTGTGTCCATCCATAAAGGATGACAAATACTTAGTCCATTAATGCTCATCCATGAAGGATGACAAATACTTAGTCGATTAATGCTCATCCATAAAGGATGACAAATACTTAGTTCATTTATGTTCATCCATAAAGGATGACAAATGCTTATTCCATTAATGCTCATTCATAAAGGATGACAAATACTTAGTCCATTTATGCACATCCATAAAGGATGACAAATACTTGGTCCATTTTTGCACATCCATAAAGGGTGACAAATACTTTGTTCATGTATGCTCATCCATAAAGGTTGACAAATACTTAGTCCATTTCTGTTCATCCATAAAGGGTGACAAATACTTAGTCCATTTATGCTCATCCATAAAGGATGACAAATACTTAGTCCATTTATGTTCATCCATAAAGGATGACAAATACTTAGTCCATTAATGCTCATCCATAAAGGGTGACAAATACTTAGTCCATTTATGTTCATCCATAAAGGATGACAAATACGTAGTCCATTAATGCTCATCCATAAAGGGTGACAAATACTTAGTCCATTTATGCTCATCCATAAAGGGTGACAAATACTTAGTCCATTTATGCTCATCCATAAAGGATGACAAATACTTAGTCCATTTATGCTCATCCATAAAGGATGACAAATACTTAGTCCATTTATGTTCATCCATCAAGGATGACAAATACGTAGTCCATTAATGCTCATCCATAAAGGGTGACAAATACTTAGTCCATTTCTGCTCATCCATAAAGGATGACAAATACTTAGTCCATTTATGTTCATTCATAAAGGATGACAAATACTTAGTCCATTTATGTTCATCTATCAAGGATGACAAATACTTAGTCCATTTATGTTCATCCATCAAGGATGACAAATGCTTAGTCCATTTATGTTCATTCATAAAGGATGACAAATACTTAGTCCATTTATGTTCATCCATCAAGGATGACAAATGCTTAGTCCATTTATGTTCATTCATAAAGGATGACAAATACTTAGTCGATTAATGCTCATCCATTTAGAATGTTGACTAGACAAAGTGCTGTACAATTAGTGTGTTTGTAGGAAATGTATTCATAATACTATTACAATGCTTACCCAAGCTTTTAACTCTGAGTGAAAAATATTATTAGTGATGTAGTCTTTTATGACATGTTGAATGTCCGATGTTTTTGGATGGTATCTGCTCCAATGATTTTGCATTTAATCATGAAACGCTCATCGCCAGACACCCTTAAACAAACATCCTCTTTGTGAAAAGAGGAGAAATGTTTCACAATATGTTGTGCCTTACATCAAAGTAAAGATACATTTCTTGGACGACTTTTTATTCATCTTAAGATTTGAGAGAAACAATTGATTCACGAAAATACAGTTGAATAACAAACTAGAAAATATATCTACATATAACACAATGACACGCAGGTTAAATAACAGTTAACTGGGTTTTTTGTTACATACCAATGTCAAAATAAGTAACATTTTCGAAGTGAAACTTACACGCTCCCTGTACTTTAATAGATAGATAATAGATTTACTTAAATGTCTCTTGTATTGCTTTAGAGTTATGCTTCACTGCGCCCACTATTATCTATCTTTGCCTTTTATTTTTTGCCAACAATATTCTACAAACTGCTTGATGCATCTATTTTATATCTGGTAGATCACAAGAAATGAATGTGAAATGTATTTAACTTTCAGAAATATGGAATTAAACCCACGTCCCTCATTTGCAACTTAACTGTAGCCTGTTTCCCTTTTAAACGTGGTCACGTGGTAGGGTAGTGTGAAATCATCTCTGGTTCTTGCACGTCATATTTACATACAGGTGACTGGTCATCTCAACCCAAAATCAACTCCACCTCAGTCAAAATCAACCTCAAGTCAACTTTGGTTTGAGTTTAACTGCTTCCAAGCAATCGGTTGAACCTATAAGAAGTCATTATCTCATTGCTGACTTTTTCCTATTTTGTATGTACTTCCAGGTGCCCTCCTCTTACCCTGGCCATGAAAAATTCTGTGTTGTCTGAGAAGTGTCAGAGAGGAACCACAGTCTACACCATCTGTCTACAGCGTTTGTACCCACATATCATACTGTTATAACTACCATTGGTGATGTCTTTATACGCCTAAAGTAGCATTGTCCAAGACAGGAGAGGTCTCTCGGATCATAGTCAAGTAAGTACAATATTTCATTTCCTAATATACAGTATTGCTTTCAGATTTACCTTTAGCCTGGAGATTAGAAGCCCACTAGAATCTGAACCACAAACAGGAATCCAAACTGGCCTCTGGAAGACCGAGGCACCTGCTGGAAGATGAGCAACAAATGGAAGCCAGGCCATCATTGGAAGTCAAGCCAAGATGGTCATCCTACAGAAAGTCAAGCTGCCCTCTGGACGATGAGTCACCTGCTGGAAGATGAGTCACCTGCTGGAAGATTGCCACCTGCTGGAAGATAGTCACAAATAAGCATCAAGCCACAAATGGAAACCTAGCCATCAATTGGAAGTCAAGCCAAGATGGTCATCCTACAGGAAGTCCAGCTGCCCTCTGGAAGATGAGTCACCTGCTTGAAGATGAGTCACCTGCTGGAAGATGAGTCACCTGCTGGAAGATGAGCCACAAATAAGCATCAAGCCACAAATGGGAACCTAGCCATCAATTGGAAGTTGAGCCAAGATGGTCATCCTACAGGAAGTCAGGCTGCCCTCTGGAAGATGAGTCAACTGCTGGAAGATAAGCATCTAGCCACAAATGGAAACCTAGCCACCATAGGAATCCAAGTGAAAATGACCCACAAATGGAAACCTAGCCATCAATTGGAAGTCAAGCCAAGATGGTCATCCTACAGGAAGTCAGGCTGCCCTCTGGAAGATGAGTCAACTGCTGAAAGATAAGCATCTAGCCACAAATGGAAACCTAGTCACCATAGGAATCCAAGTGAAAATGACCCACAAATGGAAACCTAGCCATCAATTGGAAGTCAAGCCAAGATGGTCATCCTACAGGAAGTCAGGCT